AAAATTAAGAAAATGCATACATACTTATTGGAATATGATCTGGAGGATGAGAGGATAAAGGAGACGATGATAAAATGGGCAAGTAATTTCGGTTATAATATTGATATTGATCATTGGACAATGATGTGGAAAGATTGTTATAAAATGATTAAGCCAGTAAACGTAAGAGAAAATATCCTCAAAATGTTTTACAGATGGCACTATACCCCTGTAAAGCTGGCAAAAATGTCAGAGGGTAGCAGCAATATCTGTTGGAAATGTAAAAAAAAAAGTAGGAACTTATTATCATATGTGGTGGACATGTGAAAAAGCCAAGGGTTATTGGTTACAGCTCTGGGAAATAATAAAAGGAGTCACTCAACAGAAATTAAATTTCAAACCTGAAATAGCACTACTAAATATTATGCCAGAAATTACTGATAAGAAAATCAAATATTGTTTGATGTATATATTTATAGCGGCTAGGTTACTCTGTGCCCAAAAATGGAAAAGTGAAGACATACCTACGATGGAGGAGTTCCTGAAGAAGCTGTTGGACATTACAGAACTAGACACACACTCAGAAGCACTACGAGAACAACCAAGGGACTATGCAAAACAAAGTTGGAACTTAATATATATGTTTGGGCCCAGGGACAGATCAAAGTTTAGGGCAAAATTATTTATGTGTTTTTTCTTCTTTTTTCTTTCCTTCAGTGCTCCCTGGAAACTTGGGAAATTTGGGACTTAATGAGGTCTGAATCTCTGTCCTCAAAAGGGGGAGGGGGATTTTTCCCCTTTTTCTCATCTCTTTTTCTATTTTTTTACCTTATATATTTGTTGGTAGTTGGTAGATTCATATGTTCAAATTAAATAAAAAAACACATTTTGTGGTAAACTTTCCTGGGGGGACCTAATTTGTGGGTGAATAACTCAGATATCCAATATCTTATCTTCACCAAACTTGGGAGGCATGTTGGGGAAAGACACAGAAAGTTTCTGTGTGATTTAGGATTCTCTAAGTTCCTAGGGAGAATTTTCCTGGTGGTGTCCTCCTTGTGACTATATAACTCAGGGGTCCGTTACCTAATGTTTGCCAAACTTGCTGGTCTTGTAGAAAACCATCTAAGGAAGCTTCCCTGCAAATTCGGCGTCTCTAGGTGCTTTGGGGCCAGTTTGTAAAGCATTTTAAAGTGAAAATGAATTGAATCAATTAATCAATTCAGAGAATATTTGTAAATGTGCACTCATTAATTTGTTAAGCTTTGTTAACCTCACAACAAATCACCTTTTTAAAAATTCATCTCCATCTCTAGTACTACTCTCTTAAGGCTCTTTCAGAACTTGGTAGGCAAGTTGGGTGCCCCACTAGCCAAGCCAAAAAAAATAGAGGGCTCAGTAAGTTCTTTGGTTTACTTGGGCATCCAGCTGGATACCGTGGTTGGCATGTCTTATCTTCTGGAACACAAACTAGTGGGGCTCACAAAAATCATTGTAGCTTTCTTGCCACAGAAAAAGTGTACCTTGAAAGAGCTGCAGGCACTCAATTTTGCATGTATGGTGGTGGCCCCAGGGAGGACTTTCCATGTGAGGCTCGTTAGAATGACCTCTGGGCACCACATTATTACATCAGAATAACAAAAGGAATGAAAAAAGACCTGGTCTGGTTAGCCTTCTTGGGGAGATGGTGGTCTAAGGCTTAGAAGTCTTGCATTTGTGGTTTGAATACTTAACAATGAACTTTCCATATTTCTTAGTTCTGCCCATAGGTTCCTTGAAGCATGTTTGGTTGTTGGGGCACAGCGTCATCTATTGGGCAGGACACCATGCGAGTATCATGAGCTGGGGACAGAACCTTAGCCTTGATGATGCAGTGCACATGATGTGGTTGGGATGCAGAGGCATGCGGTGGGAGCAACTCACAGCTTTTCTTCATGCCTCATGCCATGGGCTACCTGATGTGCTGCTGTTCCAGATGGGTGAAAATGTCCTTGCTAGCCACAAGGGTTTAGACTTAATATTCCCAATGAAGGCAGATCTACAGTTGCTTCATGACTGGTGCCCCAATATCAAGATAATGTGGTCTGACATCCTTGAGAGGCAGGTTGGAAGAGCCCATGACCACAGGAAGGTGGATATCACTCGGAAGAAAGTGACTAGGGCACTGGATCACTTGGTGACATCTTGGGGTGGCACTTGGATCAAGCATCCAGACATTTCTTATAAGATGCTTTATTTCAACCAGATGGAGTACATCTTTTGGATTTGGGCTATGATATCTGACTAGGAGATGTTCAGGTGGCCATGATGGACTGATTGCAGCTGCAGTGCTCGGGCAGTTTGGAGCCTTGGGATGGATCTGGGGGATGAAAGGCAGCAGGTGGGAATTTGCCTGTCTTGGTTGGTATGGAATCACTTTAAAGGATTCAGGGGCGAGCCATGGACTGCCCTAGCTCAGGGGCCAGGCACCTGGCCTTACCCTTGAGTGGCAGGGAACCACAGAGTGGCATATGCCTGTGTGGTCTCCAAGGGTCTGCCATTCCAGTTTCTCTCCCAGAGGGATCTGGCAAGTTGGCAGCTGACATCAGAGGTATTTGGGTCTCCCGATGAACTGGATCCAGTCCTAATGCTAGGTCAAGTGAACTGTTGCTGTAATCAGTAAAGCTGTGACCTGTTTTCCTTCTAGTTGTGTGTGTGGTACATTTTTTTCTGGGCTGGGCCTACTCAGCAGAAGGCCAACAACTTTGGTTGTGTGTTATCTACATTTATATTCATATCTAGCAATATTCATGCTCATCTTCAAATGAACTATCTCTCCCCATTATGTTAACTCAATGGCACGTTTCATCTGCTAACTTTAAAGAAAAGTAGCAAATTTTATTTCCTAAAAATTTATGGTAACTTTACATAAAACCACAGCATCTGAGATTTTTGGTTAAAAAGTAGGAAATCAAGAAAAGTTAGGTTACCTACCTGTAACCATGGTTCTTCTAGTGGACCACCGTGAATTCACACAAATGTGTTTGTTCTGCACCTGCGCAGGATGTTCGGAACATTCTAGAGCTTAGGAAAAAAAGGAACAATTTAGTTTCCCCCCCCCCAGGGTGCTAGCTCCGACTCCTCAACCTTCCTTTCAGTTCCCTGTATCTGCTGGTACCAAGAGCAGGTATCAACACTAAGTGAATGTGATGGACAGAGGGAAGGAAGAGAGGGATGTGTGAATTCACAGAGGTCCACTAGAAAAACCAGGGTTACAGGTAGGTAATCTAATTTTCTTCGTAGTGGCCTCTGTGAATGCACACAAATGGGTGAATAGCAAGCTTACTCACTAGATAGAGGGCTGTCACGGTAGCAAGGATGACAGTATCGCCCTTCCAAAAGCAGCATCATGCTTGGCTCTGAAGTCGAGGTGGTAGTGCTTCATAAATATCAGAGGATTGGACCAGGTAGCCGTTTTACAGATGTTCTGTATCTGTATGCCTCTGTGGAGAGTGGCTGATGTAGAGAGTGCTCGTGTAGAGTGTGCTTTCAAATGATCCGGTATTGACATGCCTGCAAGCTGGTATGCTAACTGTATTGTCTGTATTATCCACCTAGATATAGTCTGTGGAGAAGCAGACACACCCCTGTTGAGTCCGTGGTAGCATTGGAATAGATGAAAGGAGCATCTGGAATGCTTAGTCCTATCAAGGAAGAAGGCGAGGGCCCGTCTAACGTCCAGTGTATGGAGCTTACGCTCAATCAGTGTGGATGGAAACAATGTTGGAAGTATATGTTGATTTAAGTGGAACTCTGATAACATCTTGGGTAGAAAAGATACATCTGGGTACAGAGTAACCTTATGAGGGTGCATTTAGAGATATGGGGAGTCTGATCTGAGAGCAGATAGCTCGCTAGCTCTTCTTGCAGACGTTATCACCACGAGAAAGGCGGTCTTGAGAGATAGCAATTTGTTGCTACAGGTTGTCATAGGCTCAAATGGTGGTTTTGTAAGTACTTCAAGGACGAGTTGAAGTGACCACTGAAGTATGATTCATTGAGATGGAGGCCTGATGTTTTGCAGACCTTTAAGAAATCTTTTGAGAGTGGGGTGAGAAAAAAGCTTAGCGGAGCGGGATCCAGGAGGTTGGTAAGCCACTATCGTGGAGATATATACTTTAATAGTGGAGTGCGCAAGTCCAAGATTAAAGAGATGTAAAATGAAGGTAAGTATAGTTGGGCAGGAGGGGGGTGGAGGCAGAGGCCGGAGCCGAGCACCATGGGCAGCCAATGCCCTGTCTGCGGGGCCGGCCCTGGAAAGGCTCGCTCGCCCGGGGCTGGCTGGCTGGCTGGTGGTGGACGAATTTTGCTTTGCCATGATCGGTTCCCTGCTTGGGGAACCAATCATAGCAAAGCAATGCTTTTTAAACAGCTGATCGGCGGTTTCAAAATGGCCGCCCGCTGTTTTCTGGGATGGATACCTCGCTTAAGAGGAACCAGAAATGGCCGCCCCTATGGAGGATCTTCACTTAAAGGTGAGTTTTTAGCCCATAGGAACGCATGAATCGCGTTTTAATGCGTTTCTATGGGCTTTTTCTTTTCGCTTAGCAGTGAAATCACTTAGCGACAGTATTTCCGGAACAGATTAACGTTGCTAAGTGAGGCACCACTGTATGCTAGTAATACTTTCCTTGCTCGCTGTTGTTCCCAAACGTCTTACCCGAACGGCGGAAAAAAGGGAACTGAAAGGAAGGTTGAGGAGGCAGAGCTAGCACCCTGGAGGGGGGAACTATATATATTTTTCCCCTAAGCTCTACAATGTTCCGAACGTCCTGCGCAGGTGCAGAACAAACCCATTTGTGTGCATTCACAGAGGCCACTACAAAGAAGCAGAGCAAAGAATCCGCTTCCCTGCCCCATCCTTCTCTTAGTAAATATGCTGTTCTGTCTACAAGACTGAGTTCTTCCTGTTGCAGGAATGTTAGGGGTAGAAAAGCTATGGGTGGACAAGCAGAGGGGTCTGGTTCTCTCACATTACTTACATGTATCTGCTGCAGGGAGATGGGCAGCTTGGGCATTCCACACATAATGGTGGCTGGTAGCCTGAGTTACAGTGGCAAGTGTTGCACTGGCATTTCCCACGGAGACTGCATACATTTCCATTGTCATTCAGACAATTATCTGTTGAAGACTTGCATTGGCAAGCACTGCCATCAAAGCCAGGTTTACATTTACATTTTCCACAATCACAACGACCTTGTGCTGGTAAGTGAAGAGTTTAAGACAAAAAACATTTATTACATCTGCATTTCAGAGGTATGGCTGATATTTGCCAAAACGCAAAGTAGAGCTAGAAGCAGAAGAGAGCTCTTTACTTTAATTTGTTAGCATTCACAAGTCACACCGTCCAGACTAAAAAGCCAATGTCAGAATCATTTGTGAAATGCTTGAATGACTCTTAAAGAACTTTTGAAAGAACTTTTGTAAGATGCAAATCAAGAAAATATATTGGAATAGTCACTATTTATTCGGTACTATTCACACCTAGACAGCAAATCTTTACGTGAAAACCAGTCTTGTTGATCTCTGCTGTCTTATTTCCAGATTATAACCAGGGTAAGACAGTTATACAAACAGTTTTGTCAGAAATGCAGTGTAGAAGTGTAGAACTGAAGTAATACTCTTTAAAAGACTATAGCAGAAGAACGACAGAAGGAAGCCAGGAGAAGTAAACACAATATCTTTGTGTCCTTCATTCATCATCAGTAACTTACCTTCCCCTCCACATAGCTGACCATTGTGAAGTTCACAATTCATATTGTCACAGTCACAGAAGGTACCATAAATATGCTTCTTGGGATCATCACTGGTGTGGCAAACACACTGTCCACACACACAGTCCCCTTGACCAGAGCAGATAACTGAGGCATTGTCTTTTCGGCAGCTCTTTTCCAGTTCCTTGCTAGATTTGCCTCCTGTTTTACAATCACAGTTTTTTCCAATAAAGCCTGTAAAGCATCTGGCATGAAAGAAGATAGTTTCAGAATTAGGGCTGCTGAGAAACAACCCTTTTGTAGTTCAAGCAGTGCCACTGCAGACAATGTATGCCACCTTTATTTTGCTGGGTAACTGCTTATCTACCTTTCATTCAGGAAAAAACATACCTCCCGAAAGCTTGATGAACAACTTGATGAGTAATGCCAGAAAGTGAGCAACCTGCATTATCTGATTGCCTGAACTGTCAGATCAGATAACCTGAAACCTGAACCTCCCTAGGAGTCCTATAGAACTTTATAGATTGTGATGGTGGGGTGGTCAGAAAACTGTGTTCTTCACAGCTGGCATATTTTTCAAAAGGGATAAAATCCAGTGTGTCCCCAAGGAATACTACAAACCTTGTATAAACCTCCCTTCTTGTGAATACTCTTTAATTTATATTGCCCCGTGCAAGACAGACAAACTGATTCACAAAAGGAGTTTGACTGGGGTATTTTATATATATTAAATTTAAGTAAACTTAAGATGTAGTAGATTTCCAGTGTGGTGTAGTGGATAGAGTGATCAATAAGACTTTGCAGAACAGGGATCAAATTTCCACCTGGTCATGGAAATGCAAGGGTGTGGGGCTGGAACTGGTAAAACCACTCTGTAAATGTTTCACTTGTCATGATGATGGGATATATAGTCAGAGAAATGTAAGATGCAGTCAGGTTCTGTGCGAAGATGATTTGAGAGACATTGGAATGTGTTTTTCTAAGTGCCATGAGAGTGTTTTCCCGAGGACCGTTACAGCCTGGTTCGAGATAGCGATGAAGGCCAAATTGAGAGGCCCATGGAAGACTCAACATTCTGAGCTAATTGGAGAAGAGATAAACAAGAACTGGACTCTCATGGGAATAAGGGAAGGAGGAAGGAGGCTAATTGGTTAACAGCCAGAAGAAGGGAGGAGTTAGAGAAGGTAGAAAATGGATGATGGGTTATGTGGAAAAATAATATAATTCAATTCATTCAAGACTGAATGCGGAATAGAGCTTTGAGTGTTGTTCTGATCTGGATTCGATTCCAGGAAGGAGAGAGAATGTAAGTAAGGAGAAAGAAGGAGGTGGGGCTAGCCCACTATAGCCCACCTTAGTTAGCTGATTAGTGTTTGTTATTTTAATGGGAAATAGTTATTTTATTTAACTGCAATGATCTTTGAATATGTTCTTGATGCTAAAGCTTGTGCAATACAAACTGATTTAAATGAAACTCTATTTTTCTAATAAAAATTAATTATAAAAATTCTACAAAAGGACTGATGTCTTAAACAACAGGGTCTGGCTAAATCCAGGAGGTGGAGAGGGCCACATACTAGCTATCATTTAAGAGTCCTACCTAACTGCGCTTTAGTGAGTTCTAAGGAATCACAAAGCCCATGTGTCTGTACTTGCAAAGTATTGGTTAAGTATAAAGTGTTCTTTTGAGGTCAGACTTGTTCAAAGGGCTTACGCTACACACTGCTGAGGGCTTAGGACTTGCCCCAGCACAAAGGTGGTAGGTAAGCGGCCTGTCGGACTCCCTGACCAAGTGCAGGTGGCCCTTTAGGGGGTCCGGTACACCACATCACTGACCTTGAAAGCCCTATTAGGGTCACCATAAGTCAGTTCCAACTTGACAGGATAGAACACATACAAGATGTAGTAGGCACAGTTATATTAAGAGATAAGAGGCTGCATGAATTTGATTTTGTTCACCTAGAGGCTTGGACTGACACTCACTGACATTAAGTAATGATCTGGACATTAAGTAATAATTCCTTCCAGGAAGGAAGGAATGGAAAAAGAGTTGTGACTGTAATGGTGGTAAAATTGGGTGTGGGGGGAGTTAAAGTTGCTTTGTGCGTGCGTGTGTGTTTTTATTTTTGTTTTGGGTGCATCACAAGATGGGAACAAGGAAGAGATATGGTATGTATAAGAATGATTAAAAAACTAAAGTTATAACATAGAATGTAAAAGGCTTAGAGAATATTGTTACAAAGAAAAAATTTGAAACATTGTTAAACAAAGATAATGTAGATATAGTATTTTTGCGGAAATGTGTCAAAAAATAGAAGGTGTCAACAAATAAAATTAGCTTGTTTTCAGCTTTAAATATTGTCTTTTAATAATGTAAGCTGCCTTGTGTCCTTTTAAGGAGAAAGGCGGGTAAAATATTTTAAATTAAAAAGTAACATAAAATAAAAATTCAAAACTGCTGACTAGGGCCACTCAACCAAAAAAGAAAAACACTTAATTGGCGTGGTTAAGGATGAGAATGGGGAAAAGTGTAACCTAATAAAGGATAAAATTCATGTTTTCCAAAAAAAAAATGATACTAAATTGTATATAGGAGAAAATGTTCCAATGGCTAAGATAGACATGTATATAGATTTAAAATTTAGGTGATAATTTCAAAATGTGATTAGGGAACTAATGTAGCAACCTATCGTATAAGATGAGGTAGAAAAAATATACATAATTTAAAGATAGGTAAAGTGCAGGTAACTGATGGATTGAGTCTAGAAATGAAAAAAGAGATGGGCAGGCTGCACTATGGGACGAGTAGCTGGATGATGGAGTAAAGAAAGGCATCAATAGTAATCTTGGATTGGAAGGAGGAGCACAGGAAGACCACAAACTAGATGGATGATGATAATGGATGATGATGACTAGAATGAATTAGAACAGCATAAAACAGCAGTTTGCCGCAAGCAAAACAGGGAGGCCTGTACCCAACATTAGATGTCAATGTCCAAAGAAAGAATGATCCAGGTTTATCTAAACAGAAAAAATCATTGCTGCTTAAACTTGCACACACTTAGGGTTTAATGCTATTGACAATAAAACTTGCTTTTTTACTGGGTTCTCCTAAAATGTATACTTAAATTTTGAAGCACACACAAGGTATGTACACATGTGGAACACTGTGGCAGGGGAGCGAGTTTTTCTGCTCCTCTGTCAAGAGGTCTATTTATTTTGGGGCGGATGTGGAATTGATTCCACATATATGAATACCAAATCCATTTAAAAAATTCTTGTTATCTGATACAGCATTATACCATATAACAGGAATTTAAGAAAAAAGCTAGTGCACTTCCACCTGCTTGCTTGCCTTGACTTTAGCCTGAATTTTAAAAAATAATCCCTCTGCTGGCTTGTTCTGCAGTGGGAACAGGCTCCAAGTTTGTAAATTGATAACCTTTTCTTCAGCTTTTCATTTTGATCCTCACTCTACCTTATCCCAAGAGTCTGGCAAAATTTACATGTTACTTTTTTGAGATGTATATCTACAGTCAATAATTGGCAGTTGTGTTTACACAAGTGTATTCTGTGGCTTCTACTTGGCAGGCTACATAAAGCTAAAAATATACACACAATATGTTTAAGCCTTTGGAGAGTGATAATGAGTAGTCCACCACGACTAGATAGGCGGGATATAAAATAAATAAATAAATAAATAATGGTTGCATTTTTTTTTTGCAAAATTGCATATGCAAAAGTTAATTTTATTACCTGCAGATACCACAGTCTAGTTTTCCTTGTCCACTACAGTCAGAACTGCTTGATATTTTTTCATCACATTCACAATTGCACCGACTGCGCATATACACAGTGAGGGAATCCGTGAAACCAAGAGGCTGGATAGTAAGAGTCTGGTTTTCAATGCACTCCGTTGCTGTAATTTTCACTTGGAATGTAATCTGGAAGAAAGTAAATTCATGACTAATTCATTCTCAATAAATCTTAAAAATAATTAGAAAAGTCACTGTGTGGACAGTTGAAATGAAGCATCCTCAACTAAAAGAGACATGGATGTGTAAATCATACAATTACAATGATATGTTACACGGAACAGTCATCAGTATGGAACGATAACTTGGCCTGGTTGTACCCTCAAGAGGAAGGAAGGTGGGATTGTATGAATCTAATGCTTCACACTTTTGCACGTAGCACTAAAATCATGATTTAGTGTTACATGTGTCATGGCCAGTGTATTGTCTGTCCTAAGGAATAACTGCTAAGTAAAAGATTAATACTGCAGTCAATAGACAGTCTAAAATGCTACAAATTGATGCATAGAACAGTTCTGTAAAGCAGTGTTATACATCTTTAATCCTTTTTTCTAGGAAGCGGATGACACATCTTCAGTTGGTCTGCAAATTGTGACCATTCTTGGGGAGGTACATCTGGCTACAGTGATTTGTGTACTGGCAATCTCCTGGTCAGAATACAGTATCACAATTTACATAGGACATGTCTTGAATATAAAACATGTAGCAGCAAGTGCAGTGCTAGCTGGAATAGTTTTCAGAGCCCATACAACACTGGTTCTAAAGAATAATTGCACTGGCTGCCAATACTCTTTTGGCCCAAGTTCAAGGTGATGATAAACTTATAAAGCTCTAAAAGGCTTAGGACCAGCACACTTGAGGGAATGCCTCTCCCTATATGTACCTGCCCAGTCACTAAGATCTGCTTGGGGAGGGGTCCTCCATGTCCCACCATGGAGAGCAATGCACTATGCAGAGATATGGGGGAGAGCTTTCTCGGATGTAGAGGTTTGACTGGTGCCAACATTAACCTCATTTTGGCACCAAATTGAAACATGGTTATTTATCAAGGCCTTTGAGGATTTAAGGATCATGGCTTTAACAGTGTGCGAAAGCTTCTTCATTGTTTTGTGGTTTTAATATATTAATACTCTGAATATTTTAAATATTTTAAAATTGAATTGTTCTTGTATTGTTTTCATTGTTATACTCTGCCCTGATATCATAAGATATGTTGTTGTTAAGTATTGTCAAGTTGGAACCACCTTATAGCAACTCTAACAGGTATTTCAAGGTATGTGAGGTATTTAAAGAGAGATTTTACCAGTTCTACTCCCCCAGTGAGTTGCCATGGCTGAGCAGGGATTTGAACCCAGGTGTCCTGAATCTTAGTCCATCACTCCATCCACTACACCACGCTGATTAGCTCACATAAAATATGAGGTGAGATATAATAGTTACATATCTTGTATACCTTGATTCAATCATCAATCGAAATGGAGACTGCAGCCAAGAAATCAGAAGAAGACTGAGACCAGGAAGGGCAGCAATGAAGGAATGTAAGGGTGTGTCACTGAAGACCAAGATCATCCACACACTTCAAATCACTATGTATGAGTGTGAAGGTTGGACAGTAAATAAAGTTGACAGGGGAAAAAGGTGTTTCGTTTGAAATGTAGTGCTGGAGGAGAGCTTTGTGGATACCCTGGATGGCCAGAAAAGCAAACAAGTGGGTCCTACAGCAAATCAAGCCTGAACTACTTCTGGAGGCAAATGTTGAAACTGAAGCTGTACTATTTGGGGCATATCATGAGAAGGCAGGATTCTCTGGAAAGGACTGTTATGATATAGGTTACTGAAGCTAAAAAGTAATTCCTAAATGGGATTTGTAGTCATGGAATTATGTAGAAGGAATCCATCTTGAGTCTGTGTCATTTTTACTAGAAGCATCTAGATGATATTTTCTCCACAGCTAGCTAGTGAGCTATCTCGTAGCTAGGCGACCACAGCGGAAGAATCGCTGGAGTCAAAACATTCCTGCAAAGAAAGTAAATAACACCTGCAGTTCCATGAGAAAGAAAGGCGGAGAGAGAAAACTTTTCCTTCGTCCTGATTGGTGATCAGCAGTGAAGAGGAAGGAGGGGGGTTTCCAGCACGAGAGAAGAAAATGGAGGATTGCTGAGAGAGAGAAGAGAGACTTTTTTTGGTTTATGGATTTTTAGAGGGACTTTATGAGTTTTTGGACTTTACCTTGGATTATGGATTTTTGAATGGACTTTGGAGTTTCCAGAAATCTGTTAGGATGTAGTTCTTAGTAAGAGAATAAAATGGGGGGGGGGGGGGTTTGCCCTCCCCATTTTTTTCTTACCTATTTTTTCTTAGATAGTTATTTTATTGTTTGATTTTTCTAGCTGGAGTTTCCTAAATTTCTGATTGCTTAGAGATGGAAATGATTTTATTTGCTATGCTTTTGCAATAAACTGAACTCTTTTAAATCTTTATTTTTCTAATAAAACAATTATACTTAAGAACTTTTGTTTGGTCTCTTGAACAGACAACCTGCTACCATATTTAATTAAATTCTTTAGGCCACGATCTCAGCTACCTTGAGTCCAATATTTTCCTAAGTTCTGAGAGATCTAAGTGACTCTAAGACTCATGGTAATATTTTGGTTTCTCAATGGTTTTTAATTGGGGATAGACTTGGGAAAGGAGGGCCAGTGATTCAGCCTGGGTGAGACAAGGACTCATCTCATCCTAAACAGGGGTACGCTGGACTCTGGAACCTCTCTATTCCAGGCTGTCAGATTCTCTTAGGAGAACTGTACAAGCTTACAAGGACAACAATGCTGGGAAAGGTGGAAGATAGCAGAAAAACAGGAAGACTGAATATTGAGATGGACTGGTAGTGTGTAACCCCCTGCTCCCATTTAATATCCAGTCTATATAAAAATCAGCCATATCAGAAAGGCTTGACCTTCTCTTTCAGGTGATTGTGCCATAATTAATAATTATATATTGTCAATTCCATTCTGACATGGTGACCCTTCTCTGGTTTCTTTAGATATAGAGTATTCGTAAGTATTTTGCCATTCCTGTCTTCTGGAGTGTCCTGGGACTGTGCAGCTTGCCTAAGGCTACATAAACCTACTTTCTGCAGGGAAGCACAAACTCTCACCCTCTGGTTCCATAGGCAGGTACCCAACTCTGCACCAGGTGCCTATGTTGTACCGTAGGGCACTATAAAAACACACAAGGGACATCTTTCAAAGAACTGACCTTTCACAGGAACAATCTTATTATCACTGTGTTCATGAAGATAAATTTATTTATTTCCCACTTTTCCAGGCAGTTTACAAGATTTATATAAAAATTTTAGAAATGCAACATACCAGTAATATAAAAACAAAACATTTAATACCACTTATAAATTAATGTCACTTATGAGATATTATTAATACCACTTACAAGATTCTTTAGCTATAGAACACAAGACAGAAAAGTAGTGAATTAAAAGCATATATATTTTTAAAAGCAAGATTTAAGGCTTGTTTAAAGAAAATCAATGAGAGTAATTAAACATAATTATTAAGGGGGGTCATTTTATGTATTTACTGCATTGTTTGAATGGGAAAAATTCTCAATGAAGTACAGCATGCTTTCTGTTCAAAGTAAACTGTGACAGACTTAAACTGGTTGTATCTTTGGAAGCTTTGGGGAAGGTAAAGTAGCAAAAGAATTAAGAGTCTTCTCATAAGTGGAGTACCTCCTGATAAATGCAAATTGGCCTTTTCTTTGCATTTGGAGTAACAGTCAGATGTTGGACTGGGATTTGAGAGACTGAAGTTCAAGTCCTCCCTGACCAATGAAATATACCAGGTGACTTCTGGTTAGTCCTTTTTCTTCAGCATGACCTACTTCATAGGGTTGCAGGGCAGACAAATTGGGAATAAGGAGAGCCAAAGCTGAGATCCTATCCCATATGCTGATGGAGTCAAAAGGCCTCCTAGCATAGCAAGACTGGATTACCAACTGCACTCACTGCAGAAGCAGTAATTACTCTTTTGACAGCATTTCCTGTTACTGATACAGCTTACATGGTGGGTTTGAATACCTTCAGTTGTGAGCACCAAGAAGGTCAGACAACTTGCACTGTGATCTGTTGAAACAGCAGTTTGAGTCTGTTGGCTTAGGTTTATTTGAGGAAAAAGTAGGATGTGAATTTAACTGATAAAATAATGATAATAACGTTGTGATCATTATCATTATAATTATGCTGTCATAACAGTTGTAAACATAATTGAATCAATTAGTCTTCTCCTACCTCATCATTTTTCTTCACGTTGTCACATTCTCCTCTTGGCTTATTCTTATTGTGCATATTCATAGGGCAGAAGGAATCATATGTGATTTTGATAAAGCTTGGCAAAGGACCATGGTCCAAAATAATTTTGGAAGACAAATTCTGTAAGAAAATTAGAAGGTTTATTATCCAGTGGAAGAAAAACAAAAAAAGTGAACTGTCATCACTTCTGTCTCAGCTCCTGTATAAGAAAAATAATATTCCTGACAGAACAAAGCAAAAAAAGGATCTGTTTAGCTTATCTCTTACTGATACCTCCTTTTCTTCACAGGCCTGTCAAGTTGTCAACATGTTTCAGTGAACATGCTAGAGCAGCAGAAATGGAGATAAATAATAGTGAATATTCTGTGGAAAGATAATCCATAGTCTTTTGGTCAGCTAAAAACACTTCTGTTATTCAGTATAAACTGATTACTCAAGAACAGATAAAATCAGAATTGACTAATGTTTCTCTCCAATGAGCAGAGTTCTGCCTGAGCAATGCCAGCTGGAACTAGCAGATCTCTAGCCTAATAATTCCACATTTTAAAACCTTAAACATGAGAAGAAAAGAGAGGTTACCTACCTGCAACCATGGTTCTTCTAGTGGTCCTCTGTGAATTCACACATATGGGTCTTGTCTGCACCTGCACTGATGTTCTCGGAAGATTCTAGAGCTAAAAGTAGCAATTTTATGGCATGATCCCCTATGAGGCACATGCTCTTCCCACTCACGATTCCCCTCAGTTCCTATAATTTGTCCGCTGGGCATAAAAGTATGGTATAAATAAGACACCCGTGACAGACAGAGGGGAGGATGGGTGGGCAGTGTGAATTCATAGAGGACCACTAGAAGAACCATGGTTACAGGTAAGTAACCTTTCTTTCTTCTTCGTGGCCTCTGTGAATACACACATATGGGTGACTAGCAAGCTTCACTTACTGGCAGGTGGGACGTCACGGTAGGAAGGATGCCAACACAGCTCTGCCAAAACCAGCATCATGGCGTGCTCTCACATCTAGCTGGTAGTGCTTCACGAAGGGCGAACCTTGTGGACCATGTTGCAGCACAGCAGATGGGAGGAATCTCAGTCCCACACTGAAAAGCAATAGAAGTGGACAATGCTCTGGTGGAGTGAGCTTTTAACTGTTCAGGCGGTGACTTGCCTGACAGTTGGTAAGCCAGAGATATGGTCTGGCTCAGATACACTGAGATGAAGCTGGACCTCCCGTGGACCGTGGAAACATACAAAGAGCCTGTTGGCTATTCTAAAGCTCTTAGTTATGTCCAAGTAGAATGCCAGTGATTGCCTCACGTCAATATTGTAGAGCATGTGCTCTAGAGGAGATGAAGGTGATTTGAAGAATGACAGTGGAACAATGGGTTGATTTATATGGAAATCTGATACAATATTCGGTAGAAAGTAAACATCAAAGTACAAAGTCACTTTATCAGGGTGGAACTGAATAAAAGGTGGATCAGACCTGAGAGTGGTGGGTTCACTAGCTCTCTTAGCCAAGGTTATAGCTGTAATAATATGTGTTTTTGAAGCTATAGTGTGTTTCTTAGAATGGGTTATGTAGTCATGTAATTGTCTTCATGGCATCCATTTTGAATCAATGTCTGTGTCTGTGAAAGAAATTTCAAGATGCTGTTTTCGTCTCCCTAGCTCTCAGTCCTTATCTGGTTACAAGGAGGCAGAAGAGAAGAACTTTTGGAGTCATAACATTCCACTCAGTAACATAAATAACACCTGCAGATTCTCTCATGTGAAATTAAGGCGGGACAAGACACTTTTTACTTGTTCCTGATTGGTTATCCTGGAGAAGAAGGAGAAGGGGAGTAATGGAGTCGTAAGTTGTAAAATGGAGAGTTGCTGAGACAGAGAAGAGCCTTTTCCTACGATAGAGTCTTTTTCCTAGAGTCTTTTTCCTAGAGTCTTTTTCCTTTTTCCTAAAATGGAGCTTTTTCCCTAAAATGGATTAAGAGCCTTTTTCCCAACATGGACCTGATGGACTATAATGGATTTTACAGTTCCTGATGGACTATGGAATTCCTGGATATGTAAGAATGTAGTTTTCTTTAAGAGAAGGAAGGCCAACCTTGCCTATAGATTAATATTCATTTCTTTATTTTATTTTTATAGCTGGAGTTTGTGGAGTATTCTAATGTCTTGGTTGGAAATGTTACTAAATGCTTTACTTTGCAATAAACTGAATTCTATCTAAAACTATGTTTTCTTAATAAAAGCACTAATGCTTAAGATCTAATGTTTTGGTCTCTTGAACAGAATAGCTTGAATACTTATTTTGCTACCTAATAATTGGCCACGTATTTGCTACCAGAGCCATAATTTACCTGAGTTCTAACTCATGGTTTGTGTTGTGTTTTTTTCTGTTTCCTTAATAAAGGGGGTAGAATTGAGGAAGAGGATCAGTGCAGTTGCCTGGCTGAGTTTCGGCTCATCTTAGCTGCATAGGAACTCACTGAGCTCCAGAATCTCTTTATTCCCGGCTTGTCTGATCTCCCCGGAGATAGATGAAGCTTGCAATAGCTACAAGAAGTTCTGTTTTGAAAGTAAGTAGTTTCAAATTTGAAGAGGACATGGGTTCAAATGGTGGGCGCATTAATGCATTTAAGACGATCTGGAGAGGGCTTTGGGGAATGATACACTGGCATGAAAGATGGATGTTATTGAGTCCTTTTAGAAATTTTTAAACCGTAGGATGGGATAAAAGGATAAAAGTCTTGAAGAAGCAGAATTGGTGGACGATAGCTGGTATATAAACTTTTAAAGCTGAATGAGATAGTCCGAAATCAAAAAGATGGAGTAAAACGTAAGTAACGTCATCAGAGGAACAGGTATGGCAATCAAGTTATTTGCTGTTGTATATTCAATAAAATATTTCTACTTGTTTTTGTATAGGACTCAAGTTGATGGCTTTCGAGCTCGATCCAGAACAGACTTCAAGGCAGGAGTATCCTCCAGGCTGTCAAGTTCAGGGACATTAAATCCAGATGGTAGGCCATCCCTCTGTCTAACGTCAGAAGGTCAGGAACCAGAGGGCATCGGAACGTGTCCATTGACATCGACCTCAGGTAAGTAAACCACGGCTGCCTCGGCCACCAAGGAGCTATCAGGATTGCGTTCGACCAAAAGTGATGGAGTTGAATAACTGTTTGTTGGATTAGTGGTATTGGTGGAAAGAGGTACAGCAGATTCTCTGATCAGTTCACCACAAATGTGTCCCCGATGGAGTCAATGTCTGCTCCGGCCCGAGAGCAATATATCTCGCATTTCTTGTTTGACTTCGAAGCAAAGACATCAATGCTGGGTGTTTCCCATCTTCGACAAAGTTGGCGAAAAATTGAGTCCTTGAGGGACCATTCGTGTGTTCTTGATGTTAGACAACTCAGATGATCCACCAAATAGTTGTTGTCTGTGGAAATATGGACTGCAATGGGGAAGATATGGTATTGGGTAGCACCATTCCCACAAGTTGATGGCTAAATTAAGCAGAGATAAAGAGTGTGTGCCTTCTTGCTTGTTCACATTTTACAGGGCAGTTGTATTGTCCGTTGCCAGTAGAGGGACTACTTGTCCCTCTATGAGGAGCAAAAAGGCACAAAAGGCTTGGGTGATTGCCATGAGCTCTAGATGATTGATATGAAGCAATGTCTCTTGTTTCGTCCATAGCCCATGAATCTTGTGTTGGAGGCAGTGAGTCCCCCATCTTGATCTGGCATCTGTGGTGACTTGCACTGTTGGTTGAAGACATCTGAACGGGTGTCCCATTTGGAGGTTCGACATGGACACTCACCAGGTGAGCTGATCTGCCAGTTCTGGTGTTACTTGCAGTCTGAGTGACTGGTGGTCATTGATTGGGTCCAAGACAGAGAGGTACCACGACTAGAGTTATCTGAGTTTGAGTCTGGCATGTTGGATTACCAATGCCATGGACACCATGAGTCCGAGGAGATGCAGAACATGATGGGCTGGAACAAAGGTGTGAGGTCGGAATGGCCGAATTGCTTTCTTTAACTTCTATATCCACTCTGCCAGTATGAATGCTCTTGCTTGTATGGCGTCGAGAAGGGCTCCTATGTAAGTGGCCCTTTGCACCGGCTCTAGATGGGATTTTTCAAAACTGACGTTGAGCCTGAGCTCTCTTAACATGTGGAGTGCGAGGTTCATTGATTTTATGGCATGGTGTCGAGATTTTGCTACTATTAGCCAGTTGTCGATGTAAGGGTAGACATGTATACCCTGTAGCCGAAGGTATGCTGCGACTGGCGCCATACACTTTGTGAATGTTCTTGGTGCTGTCGAGAGTCCAAATGGTAGGGAGCAGAATTGGTAGGCAGAATTGTTGAAATGGAATCTGAGAAATCTTTGATGGGATGCACGAATAAAATGTGGAAATATGTGTCCTGCAGATCGATTACCACAAACCAATCTCCCTGTGAAAGAAGAGGGATAATGGTGTCAAAGGTTAATATTCTGAATTTTTGAGGTCGAATAAAACTATTCAGGTCCCTAAGATCAAGAATTGGGCAAAGGCCTCCATCCTTCTTGGGTACCGTAAAGTATCTTGATTAAAAGCCGTTGAGAGAATCTTGTGGTGGTACTTGCATTGTGACATGTTTACTCAAGAGAGTAGTAACCTCCTGATGGAGGGTCTCGGAATATAGGGTAAATTTTAGGTCACCTGATGGTGGAAGGGAATCAAATTCTATGCAATAACCCAATGAAATGATGTTGAGGACCCAGGAATCAGCAGTAATGAATTTCCACGAGGGTAGGTGAGAGTGTAATCTTATTCAAAATGGGGGATAAAGGCTGATCTGAGGAAAAACGCAGGTGTTAGTAATGTTGGTAGGTCTTACCCTTCTTTTGCGGTTTACGGAAAGGTTGACGTTGTTGTTGTTGGTTCTGTGGATGAGAGGAATACGTCGAGGGTCCCTGGACCAAGAAAGATCTGTCTGGTTGTTGGGGTCGAAACTGTCTATATGGCTGGTAGCATTGAGATGGTTGCTGGTAGTATTGTGTCTGTCTGTATTTAGGTTTATAGGAACAAAAGGACTGCAAGTTAGAATATGAGTCTGCTGTCTTTCTGATTTT